GTGATGATGGTTCCACCACTAGCAGTTAGAACCATCTTCCATGCTTTGCGACATTGCTTGATCTGGCCCACATATGAATTCAGAAGAACTATTTAAACTGACCTAGACGATAAACTCATTGCTTTTTCAAGCAGGACCTTATAGCAAAAAATATATATTGCAGAGTTTACACTGCTGGTGGAGAACAACGAAAGTGAAATCATGCACTAAGACATAACATTGAGCAATACAATTCAGTTTTCAGTATAACATAAATTCCATCACTAGGTCACATCATCTTTTTTTCTGAGTTAACTCAATTGAGCACATAAGTCTAAATAAATGATAGGGGTGAATTACATTGCATAAAAAGTAACACCATTGCTGAGTTTAAACCACATGGTTTAGTCGTTTAGACAGTATAGAGCTCCAATGTAAATGCTCTTTCACAGTAAACTCTGGTCCAATTGATCTTGGTGACCAAAAGAATTCATACATGAACCACACTTCTAATATCCAGAGGGCAATAAGATGCTACGAGACTCATCTAGAGATTCCTATCAGAAAATGAAGGTGCTCCAGAGAAGTTACATCATAAAGAGCTTTCGTATGCGGCCATTTTTATGTTGGACACCATTAAAAGCAAGCTCTTCTTGTTTTATTGTCTCCCAGTAGAAACACCAAGATCATGCTCGACACGTTGTTCTGGAATAGAAGAGGCCTGCAAAATTCCAAAATCAATGCCAGAATGTGAGGATTATCTCGAGTTTTAGCCTTTTAGGAGAAGTTTGTATAAGAGCAACATATTGTTGCTACCTTAAAAACTAGAATATACGTCACCAGATTATGATACTTGAGATGTTAGCAAATAGAGGCAGATGGTTCGATCTTGCACTAATTACCTTTATACAAACAAAGAGAAACATGTGGTAAAACTGTAACTGTGATGTGTAAATGATACGAGCATTGGATCTCGGAATACACAAAACAACCGATCAGTCCAGGAAATGTTCTGGAGCAACTACACTTAACTTTAAGCATCTCCTACAAATTACCAAGGCAAGGTGTAACTATTCACTTGACCAGAACACTTCTATGGAGTAAACAACTATTCATATGCAAACAACTATAAGCATAGCAAACAGCTGCCAGCATTTGGGAAAATCCTATGTTTTCATGTAACATCCTTACTCGTTGTACTTTGATATCAGTATTAGTGGGAGAGAAATTTAGGCCTTTTTTCAAGATTATATATACCTTATTTATTTCAAGTGTAGAAAGTCCAGTGATATCAGGATTCTTGAGCTGATCGAGCTGCCGCTTCCCTCTTCTCATCAAATACTCAATGTACACAAAGTTCCTGCGATCGACACTCCTGGCATTCTCACGGAACTCTGCGGAGACAACGGACTCGATCCTGCGGCGCTCCTCTGGGGACTTGAGCCGTGCTGTCCGAAGGAACCCTCTGTATAATGCCAAGGCCTGCCTCTGGATACCAGATAGCTTTGTACGGGACGCCATCTCATCCTTGTGACGCAGTCATCAAAGCTACACAAAAAAGTGGAACTATCAAATGAGTTGTCTCGTGGTGATCTGCATATTTTGCTCAGGTGACGGACTGATTCAGTTGTCCCGTGGAGTACAAAAAAAAAAACTAATCTACCGCCTAGCAAGCAAATCCGCAGCGAACGGGGCTGGTTTTGGATTAGATCGCGCGCAGGATAGAAATACAAGAGCAGAACTCTCGGAACAAATCTAAGCAAGCAAAGTCTGGACGGATCTCCAATCCGTGCCGGTGGGATAGACTGGGGGAGAAGAACCTGCTCACCGGCGCACGCAGGGTCGACGACGACGGAGGGGGCGGGCGGAGTGGGGGCGGACGGAGAGGCGGGAGCTAGGGACTTCGTCGCGGCTCGCCGCCGGCGCCGCCTGTCGGGATCGCGGAGGGAGGGCCGCGCGCGCGTAGTGCGGCGGAGGCAGGGCCGGGGTATCGCACGGGAGAGACGATCGAAGGGGCAAAAGCTGCTGGTGGTGTATCGGATCGATTCTGTCCAGGGGTAAAATGGGAATTGCAGGTCAGCAACCAGCTTTTCTTTTTTAGGAAAAGTGCCCGCGTGTTCGTCCATATCACCGGTAACTAAGGCCACACGTGGCTTCTGTTTGGAACAATCCCCAGGGTCGGCACGTTATTAAGAAAACTTACAGAAAAAACCAAGGAAAGAATGATAATTTGTACTCCTTCCTTCCATCTATATAGGGCCTAATGCATTTTTCGAGGCTAATTTTGACAAGTGTTAGTGCAATAATATATGACATGCAAGTTACACAAAGCATATCATCAAATTCGTACGTGAAAGAAACTTCCAATGATATAATTTTCACATCATACATCCCATATATTATTAATCTTATCAATAGTTAAAAGCGGCCCTGAAAAACGTATTAGACCCTATATAGATGGAAGAAGGGAGTAGGTTCTTCTGGGCCTGCACGGTTATTTTTCTTTTGCAAAAGGGATCGGCTCTTATATTATAAAAGTTCATGTACAAACCCTCTCAAACATAATAAAAGTTAATTCTAAAACCACCAAACGACTACTATTGCCGTCAGAAAGAGCCGCTGACGTGTTGTTGTCTTCATTCCTCTATCGAAGCCGACTTGACCTTGTCGATGATAACCGGGATGTCTTCCTGGACGTGTCCCTAAGACCATCGCCCTGGAGCCGTAGTCTTTGTCATGAATGCATAGATTTGAAGCACCTGACATCAAATCTCACCACGTGACGAGAAACACTAACCTCACTGCCCCAAGGAGACGATATGAATCTACACTGGAGCTCCGTCAACTACGGCCACACGGATGAACTCGAGGAGAATCGGAGCCCGGAAGGCAAACTCTAAGAAGAAGCTGCTACTTGTAAACTGTGTTGGTATTTTTCGCCAAGAGGAGGGGTGAAGCAGTACAATAAAGGCAAGTATTTCCCTTAGTTGTCGAACGAATAGGAGAATCAAGCAAACTCACACACACAAAAGCAAATACTTGCACCCAACACGGGCAAGAGGGTTGTCAATCCCCTTGAACTCGTAACTTGCAAGAATTAAATCTGATAATGATAGATAGATAAAAAGAAAAGTAAAATAAAAGTAAATAAATTGTGGCAAAGTATTTTAATTTTTATGATAAAGTTAGACTCGGGGGGCCATACTTTTCACTAGAGACTTCTCTCTCGAACACATAGCATACGGTGGGTGAACAAAATACTGTTGGACAATTGATAGAAAAGCGCATAGTTATGACGTATTCACGATAATGATCATGTATATAGGCATCATGTCCGTAACAAACAAATCGACTCCTGCCTACATCTACTACGGTTACTCCACTAGTCGACCGTTATCCAACATGCATTTATGGTATTAAGTTCATGACAAACAAAGTAAAGCTTTAAGCAAGATGACGTGACTTAGATAAAGTAAACCCAATCAATATGAATAAACCATGTCGTTTTATCCTTAATGGCAACAATACAATATGTGCCTTGATACCCTTTCTGTCACTAGGTGAGGACGCCGCAAGAATGAACCCATTACAAAGCACCTCTCCCACTGAAGATAAATCAATCTAACTCGCCAGACCAAAGGATAGATAGGAGAGAAATACGAGGCTATAACAATCATTCTTAATAAAGTTTAGAAAAGACTCAATTACATTTAATGAATAATGTGATCATAAACCCACAATTCACCGGATCCCAACAAACACACCGTAAAATAAGATTACATCGGATAGAACTCCAAGAAGATTGAGGAGAACGTGGTATTGAAGATCAAAGAGAGAGAAGAAGCCATCTAGCTACTAGCTATGAATCCGTAGGCCTGTGATAAACTACTCACACATCACCAGAAGGCAGCAAGGATGATGCAGAAGCCCTCCGTGATCGATTCCCCCTTTGGCAAAGTACCGAAAATGGCCTCCAGATGGGATCGCGGAAGAATAGAAGCTTGCAGTGGCGAAAAAAGTGTTTTGGGTGGCTCTCTAGTGTTTTGGGAATATTTGGGAAATTAAAGAGGTGTAATTAGGTCAAGGGGTGCTACATGGGTCCCATGAGCTCAGGGGCGCGCCTAGCCCCCTGGGGCACGCCCTTTGAGCTCGTGGCTCTCCCTTAGCTCTTCTGGCCTCCTCCCTAACTTTCTAGGGTCCCTTCTGGTTCAGAAAAAATCACCGTAAAGTTTCCTCGTGTTTGGACTTTGTTTGATATCGATTTTCTGAAAAGCCAAAAACAAGCAAAAAAAATAGGAACTGACACTGGGCACTGGGTTAATAGGTTAGTCCCAAGAAATGATATAAAATAGCATAAAATACATATAAAGCATCCAAGATTGATAATAAAATAGCATGAAACAATCAAAAATTATAGATACGTTGGAGACATACATCATGTTTTCCTACCGTTAGTTATAGTGTTTTTATGCATTATAACACTTTTTGGATTAATTCTAATGCCTTTTCTCTCATAATATGTAAGGTTTACACAAAGAGGGATAATGCCAAATTTATTCTATTGTAATAAAGACTATATATGAGAGTCGTGTAATAAATCAGGTGTGATTGAACTTTTAATTTTTTATTAATGTCATGTGTGTGCCAGCATGATCTTGGGATGGTACAGATACAAAGACACTTGACCGATTTCGGGTCGGGCCGCTACAGGAGCCCTCTGTGGACTTGTGCAACCGTTACCCTTCATGGGTTGAAGTCTTCATCAACGTGGACGTACGATAGCACCACTTATCGGAACCACGCCAAAAATCTCCGTGTATACATTGTGTTTGCCTTCTCCAAACATTTCCTTTTACCTTCATATGCAATGTTTTACTTTCCGCTGCTACACTCTTAGAATTGCATTTGTAGATTGATTGCTTGACTTGTGCTAGTTGCTAAAATCTGCCAACAATTAAAATTGGGAAAATGTTAGTTTTTTATTTGGTCAAGTAGTCTAATCACCCCCCTCTAGACCTACTTTCGATCCTACACCAACCCATTATGTCGATGAACAGGATTACAAATCCTCAACAAAAGGCAATCATAAGAATCCAAAATACATAACAAAAGGCAATCATAAGTATTCATGTGCCATTGAAATATTTAATCTGTACATTCAAAACAACACTGGAATACATTTTCAAACATAACCTAAATGGCATATACATGAAGAACCATTATAAACTTCCCACCCTACTCATGTCATCTAACTTGAACTTCAAAGCTCGTTGTCACTTTACCATAAAAACAGTAATGCTAAAAAGTTAAAAAGGAGTGATTAGCACTGACCACTACCAAATTATTCGAGATTACACAAATAACACAGAAAATGACATATTGTCTGCGATAGTATAAGCACTTGATACGTTTCCAACGTATCTATAAATTTTATTGTTTCATGCTATTATATTACCAATCTTGGACACTTTTTATGCAATTTTATATTATTTTTTGGGACAACCTATTAACTTAGTGCCCAATGTCAATTGCTGTTATTTGCTTGTTCTTGACTTTTCAGAAAATCAGTACCAAACGAAGTCCAAACACGATGGAACTTTACGGTGATTTTTCTAGACCAGAAGGGACACAAGAGCGTTCTGGAGGAGGCCAGAACATCTATGGGAGAGCGACGAGCTCACCTGGCGCCCACCCCCCTCCCCCGGGGGAGGGGGCTATTCTCGTGGGTCCCATGCATCTCTATTTGACCTAATGCCACCTCTATAAATTCCCAAATATTTCCGAACCAACAGAGTCACCCAAAACAATTTTTCCGCCGCCACAAGTTTCTGTTGTTCCATGATCCCATCTGGAGGACTTTTCCGGAACTCTGCTGGAGGGGAAATCGATCAATGAGGGCCTCTACATCAACCTTGCGGCCCTACCAATGATGTGTGAGTAGTTCACCACAGACCTATGGGTCCATAGCTAGTAGCTAGATGCCTTCTTCTCTCTCTTTGATTTTCAATACAATGTTCTCCTCTCTGTTCTGGAGTTCTATATGATGTAATCTTCTTTTGCGGTGTGTTTGTTGGGATCCGATGAATTGTGGATTTATGATCATATTATTCATTATAAGTAATTGAGTCTTTCCTGAACTTTATTATGCATGATCACTATAGCTTTGTATCTCTCTCTGATCTATCCGTTCGATTTGGCTAACTGGATTGATTTATCTTCAGTGCGGGAGGTGCTTTGTGAGGGGTTCAATCTTAAAGTGTCATCACGTCATGACAAAGGGGGTAGTGAGGCACATGTTGTATTGTTGCCATTAAGGGTAAAATGACGGGGTTCATTTATATTGCTTGAGTATTTGTCTACATCATGTCATCATACTTCATGCATTACTCTATTTGTTATGAACTTAATGCACAGAGAGGCAAACATAGAAGCGCTCTCGAAGTGGAATAATACTAGTAGATGCAGAATCATTTCGGTCTACTTGTCACAAATGTGATGCATATATACACGATCATTGCCAT